GTTCGTTTGATCATAATAGCTTTTCGTAGACAACGAACGATAACTCTTTCCTTGCAAAGATTTCTTAAGCTTGCATTTTGAATATTAAAGCATCAATAGCTTTCTCACTTTATGATGTTTCTCAAATAAAAGACAGAGATACGTAGTTTCTCTCTGTCTTTTCTATAAATATTTTCATGGCAACTGCTCTGACGAGTATTTTCCCTGGTACCCCGACTACACAAATTTAAGTGTGCTACTAGATTGGCATTTAGGTTCCATCAGTTTACTGTTGAAATAGCTAAACGCAACCGTTATTTCTATGCCAGCAGATTCTTTTTTCGCACTTCCAGCCTGTGGAAAGCATTTTCATTTAATTGCTTCCCTGGTAACTACAATCTTCAAAACTTTAAATGCAACGCTAATCACCTTCCATCTTTTTGAATCCCGTTCATCTTTGTTCTTTCTTCAATCCTCCCTATACTCAGTCTTTTCTCTCACGATACTCCCCCACTCGCGTACTAGTGGTATTCCCGCCTTGCTTGGGGTGAAATGATTAAAATATTGTGCTCTTATTTTAAAATCAGTTTAGATTTTATTAAAGAGACAGTTGTTTATGTTTATTCGGGAAAATTAAATATATTTTTACTATAACTTTAATGATTTTTGCTATGAATCATTTGGTTTAAACATTTGCATTTTAATAAAGTGGTCTGTTCATTTTATCCTTCGAGAAGAAATTACTTAACTTCTGTCATGCATTATCTTAACAAGAATTAAAAAAAAAATAGCGAAAATCAATTATTGCTGCCATAGCAGAGCTGGAGTTGCACAATCATTACTTTCCAGTTTTGATAGATCGCATAATCATTTGCGTGGTTTTATGAGGAATAACATTCGCCATTCTGTAGCCTCTTACAGATGCCACAAGTCTATAGCTACTCTATCGTTATTTCCATTACAAACTGTTCAGATGAGCTCTACTCTTTAGTTTCACCACATCAATACCTTTCAGCTCGGACGTTCATGCTGCATCCACGGATTAGAATCACCCTCATTATCCCCCTATTTCAGTTGTTCGGAGGAATTTCCACAAAGACAAGTTTTTTTTTTTTCTATAGAACTTTTACTTCGTGGGAAAACACTTCACAAATTTACCGGTGAGTTTTTATGTTGCTGAAGGAGCGTGGAACTACTTCTTAATTGCAGTTGTTCCCAGGTCCACCCTGATCCGGGGTAGTAATATCTGCTAGGGTCCAATCTAGGGGCAAATAGTAAACCTCCTCAAACTAAGACAAAACACTATGTAAGTATAAAAAAATATTTTCATAGTAAAAAGACCAGCAATATATCGTATAGTAAAAATAACTACAATATATTTTATAACCAAATGACCAACAAAACTTTTTATCTGTAGCTGAAGACAGTCACAATCTGCAAAATAACTGAATACCCAAGTCTGCAGAATGTAACTTGATATCCAATAAATGCGAAACCAGCTAATCACCTCCAATATGCAGTGTAAATAGACAAATCATAATAATAATTAAAACCAGACATTTTCTTTAGATAGAGAATAGATCTTGTGACATAATAAATCTGACATGCCATTTTGATATCTGATGTTTGTTTGTTTTTTTAAATACAAACAATGGTTAATACATTTAACGCACACGGAAGGCACAGATGTAATCTTCCGTAATGTTATATAGAACCCACCTATTCCATTGTTAATAGACTCTCCCACCTATAATAAGTAGGAGTAGTAGGAGTCGCTCAGTGAGTGCGTGAGTCAGTCGATGTCGGACGACTGGCTGATCGCTTGAACTCTCTGCCTTCGGGCAGGGAGGAACCCGAACGAGGCTAGGCCGAAGGGAGGAGTTTCTTTCGGGGAGGTAAACCGACCCTGAACCCGTTTATACGGGTTCAAAGGGCATATTTTTGCCGAGCCCACGGGCTCGGAGATCCTACGTCAAACCGGCCTTGTGCCACATGATACCCTCGTGGGGGTGACTAAATACTAGTCGATGCCGGACGACCGTTAGTCGGATACTAAAGTACCAGCGATCACAACTAGATTTCTCTGCGTCATTACCTATTATATCAAGTTCCTAATATTTTGTACGTCGAACCTATTTTAGGACCGACCGTACAAATACAAGCCTCCACTGTGAAACCACTCCATAACACGTAAAGAAGACATAATCGTAAGGGAACAATTCTGTAAATAATATCGTCTTTTCCCCACCCCCAAAATTGCTTTAATTTCTGTCTAAATTCCTGGGATAAGGATTTATCATTGTTTACATTATTTACATTCGTAGTACTGTCCTCAACTTTGTTGTTATTTTATAATGTTCTCGTCTTTGAGCCTGCAGGTCTCTTCAGGTGTTTCTTCAGGCAGGTAACCATCAAGCAATTTCAGACTGAACCCTTTATTCAATTTTAGTGTGTATCTAAATCCTTTTTAGACGCATTAAAGAATGTAATGATAATTATATATATGTTAAGAAGTAACGAAAAGTGTCAGACTTCAGCACAAACTGATAGCATATATTTTAGATATAGATTCAACTATCACTGGTAAATGTCACCAATAACGTCAGCTCTGGAAGCAAACAGTCAAAATGTCTCAGTTAATCTTTCTTTGAATTCAAATAAGAATCCTCCGATTTTACAAGTTCTTAAATATCTCATTCAATCCACGAGCAGAATATACAAGCATAAAACAAATTTATATTTCTTTAGATACTGGCAAACATTTCATACAATTCCATTTAGAGAATTGTTTAAATGGCTCCAGATATGTTTCCTCTCGTCGATGATGCATATTAGTTCCACAGAAAAACACACAAATTGCATGTGTTACTTTTACATCCAATAACTTCTCATTGAATGGAAAAGAATTTTCATGCTCGTCTTCATTCCTCGTAATCTACGCAAAATTACCGTGGAGGCGAGGGTAAATAGAACAGAGCACTTACAGCTAATTAGTGGCACAGACAATAAAATCGACTCGTAATATGTGACGCTGAGAGTGGTACTTAAAATACATCAGCAATGACTTTTACTGACTGTCGTTATTGCTATCATGTCGATTCGACTAAATGCAACAATGGTCTTGTGGATGACAACGATATCATTAAAGGATAATTGTACGCGAAATATTCCAATAATAATAATAATAATAATAATAATAATAATGAACTATCATTGTAATCATTACATATAACAATATAATAGCTATTTTATTGCCTTCTTAAGCATACAGGTATTCTGACGAAACTGGCTGTTAATTGATCCGCAACGATAGCCACGAGATACCACTGGGGTGTAAAGAAATAACGACTTTTGAAGAGGAAAAACCTGGCGAGGGGTTACGCGGAGGGGATGTAAAAAGTGAAACAAAAGTCACTTATCAGTGCAACCAAGAATTAATATGAAGACTGACAAAACTCAAGAAAGCATCAAATATCGTATCCTTGGAGGGATCGATGATATGTAAATGTAGTTAACTGGCCCAAGATGTATTATAAAAACAGATACATACAGGATAAGAATGGGAATTCATTAGAAACTATGCAAACCTATCAGGTCGACCAAGATTTTGCCCTGAAAACAATGAATAAAAATTTTCGAATTCGGATTGATGACACCATTCAATCTAGAATGTCAGATCTGATTGTCAAGGAAAGGAATATATTTTCTCAAATGGTGCACTGGACCATATAGACAAAACTGTAGAAAGTAAGCCTTAAATAGTTTCTGAGACAATTCTTAATACCTTAACCAGGTATTGAACTGACACACTTTGGGTCCTGTCACAGGATCTATCTAACGCCTTTATCCACTATGCCATGTGTTCTTGGGTCCCCGAGGACACATGACACAGTGGATCCAAAGTGTTCAATACCTGGTTAAGGCAGTGGAAAACATTCAGAGGGGAATTAAAAGGAGATAACTGATATTCATTAGACATGGCACGTGAAACTAGAACAGTTTACCACAGTGAGCGAAATAAAAGGTTCAGTTCGGCATTCCAACCACCTGATGAAGACCGGAGCGTAGAACGGCCGAAACGTTATAATAAACATGGCGACAAAGATGAGGACAAAAGTCTGAATAATGTAAATAGTGTACATAATGCCTCATCTCAAAAATATAGACAGGTACTCCATAATACTGTTGTGCACAAAGCGGTACTTCTGAAAAATAACAAAAAAACTCAAACCAATGTAACCTTCTACCAAACTTAATGAAATTGATTAAATAACAGTACTACGTGTTCACTTAAAAAAAAACCCTCAGTTATGCACACAAAGCTTTCTTCACCTACAAGTATTGTAAATAATATAAGTGTTTGCAAAATAAAAAACATAACAATAGGTAGGCGAAGATATATACAAGAAAGAGTAATTAAAATCAATAGAGAATATGTCCAGCAGAAATATGTTTTTCTTTTCTCTGACTGCTTCTGTCCACTTTCATTCTTTTGATTGTAGCTTGTGCCAAATTTAAATTCCGTCTCAGCTTACACTGAAAAGTTATTTTTTTACTCCAACCATTACACAACTTGCACTGTGCTGTCTTTTTCTTAAAAAGTCTTATACTATTTTTGTGCATTTAGCATACAGATGATCAGGTTTAGTCACACACATACACACTGTTTTGTTTGTCTTTATACAAAATAAATTTCTGGAACTCTTTGCTTTATGCTTATTTAAAGATTTAACACAGTACTAAACTACAATAATTACCTTCAGGATAAAAGTGACTTCCATTTCATTTGCTGAAGTAAGACTTTTCTTTTTAGAAAAATCTATAATTTATTACCATGATGAGTAAATATCAAAACCATCTGAGACCTGGTTGAAAAGCTATAAAATACGCCACAAATTTTATTTCTGACGGCGGATAAGTGCATACAGGGTGTTGCAGCAAAATCCGACACTTGACAAAAAGAAAACGAAATTGGCAATAAAAACAAAAGTTGTATATGCAGAGACCCGACAGTTTGACAACTAACTAACGTTTTTCTCTCTAACATTTTCCAGTATGGAATATGAGCGCAAAGCAGTGGTAGTAGATCTTTTCGCGTCGGGAAGAAGCCTGCGGAAGTGATGGCCTGGTTTGGGTTCAAGAGGACCATGATCATGGGCATTTGGAGGAAGTGGAAGGCGTATGAGAACAAGGACGAGTTTACTACCAAACGAAAAGCCCTGTAACATTGTTCGGCCATTAGGACCGACGTGTGCCACGCCACCGTCAAGGCGACAGTCGACAATGATGGAAGCAAAAGCTACGCCAAGATCGCTGCTGACATGGGCTGTCACAAGTCGACGATCTGCCGAACGATCAAGAAGGACATTGGTTACTCCTTCTACCGCAAGTCTCACCGCATGCTCATCACGAATGCCTCCAAGCAATCGAGGTAAGTCAAAGCGGCGGCTTTGCTGAACGACCTCAAGCACGGTCCTGCCGGGATGCTGATGTTCTTCTCTGATGTAAAGTATTCTATCCAGGACCAGACGAGCAACAGGCAGAACGACAGGTGGATCTGCAAATACATCGAGGAGGTTCCCGTCGTGAAGCATACGAAGTTTCCCTTCTCCGTCATGGTCCTTGGCGTCATCTCCAGCGAGGGGACGTCATGCCTATGTTCTTCTTTCAAAAGGGCCTGAGAGTTACCGCTGAGATCTACCAGGAGGTGCGTGGTGAAGCCCTGAATGGACGAGATCGCCGCCGGCCGCCCATACATCTTCCAGCAGGACTCCGCTCCTGCACACAAAGCCAAGACGACCCGGGCGTGGCTGCTCAACAATGTTCCTCACCGCTGGTCGCCGGACTTTTGGCTGCCCCTCCCACCCGATTGCAACACCCTTTATTTCTTCTGGGGCATGATCGAGGCCAAGACCAACAAGAACGCTCACATTACGGTCGACTCTCTGAAGGCTGCCATCGTGGAGACGTTCGCCGCTATGGAGATGGTCGCCAAAGAGTGTGACTCATTGGTCGTCGCCGCCGCCGACGGTTACATTGAAAAATAATGTAGTGTGTAACTGTGACTGTTGGTAAATAAACTGTCGGGTCTCTGCATATACAACTTTTGTTTTTATTGCCTATTTCGTTTTCCTTTTGTCAAGTGTCGGGTTTTGCTGCAACACCCTGTATAAGCATTAGTGAGTTGCTTTCATTAATATCATTGGGTCAGGTTATGAAATAATATATTTTGGCAGGAAAGAACAGAAATTAGTATCAGGAGGATAAACCTAAGGAGTACAGAGTACTTGTAAAATATGATACTCATAGGACTGATTAAATACAAATCGGACGAAGAAGTTTTGGAGAAAATGGGAACAAAAAAAAACTCAAAGCAAACAACAAGAAAAGACAGTTAAAATTCATAGTGCATATAATGGAGAAAGAAAGCTTAAAAAATTTGACACTCACAGGAAAGATTGAAGTCAAGAGTGGCAAAAGAAAACAATGTATAACCTACCTAGCGAGCTTGAGTAAATGGAGTGTTTAGGAGAGATAACAAAAAAATTATTAAGACTTAGAAAAGACAGGAAATTGTGGAGAACCATGATCGCCAACGTCCTGAAGAAGAAGAAGAAGAAGAAGAAGAAGAAGAAAAATAATAATAATAATAAGAAATAGAAGAAGGAGGAGGATGAAAAGAAGAAAAAGAAGAAGAAGGAGGAGGGGGATGAGAAGAAGAAGAAGAAGAAGAAGAAGAAGAAGAAGAAGAAGAAGAAACGGTTGAACGCATTCAAAACACTACAGTACAGATATACGAAAGATTGATACGGTGATGAAAATTTGAAGAAACTTATTCTCGCGGCAACAAAACCCAATAAATACTTGCATTAAAAATGTAACTTCATGAAATAAAATAAGAATATGTGTATTTAAAATAAAAATAAAACTCTCACAGAGTTTGAAATTCAATCGAATTACCTAGTCGAAGACATAAGACCAGAGCTAGTTATCGTAAACAAGAAGACAGATTGTTAGACTGTAGATTTCATTTTTTTTCCTAAGCTTAGAGAATTAAATTGGGGAAAAATTTTAAGCTAAATAGATCGATTTCACATAGGACTAAAAAGAAATCTATATTGAACATGATGTTGATAATATTGCCTATCGTGGTTGGAATACTTAGAAGGATCTTGAAAACACCTTGTAAGAAAGATGGAAGAATAGAAAATCCGAGGACGTATAGATAACATCATGAAGACAGCACTGTTTTAAAATGCTGGGAATATTAATAAGATTGGTGAAGTGGGTAGCAATTAAATTCCAGTGCATGTCATCAGTTACTACTGAGGTCATAAAACAAGAAGTGCAAAAATCTGGACCTTGTCAGAGAACCGAAGAAATTGTTGAACGTGACAATGACAATAGCGCCAGTCATTAACAGAGCACTGGGAACGATCCAGAAGAGTTCGGAGAGAGGGACAGGAGGGAATGAAAATTAACGAAATTGTTAGATCAATCCAGATGAGAGCACTGTTGAAAATCCTTAGAGTACCGAGAAGAGCGCTCTAGTGCCGGTCAATAATTACAACAACAATAACAACACTAATAATAACTAATAATAATAATAATAATAATGATAATAATAATGATAAATTAAATATAGCCATAATAGCGTAGAGTAGTACATACATCTGAAGACATGCCAAGATTATAACTTACGCCACGCAGGTAAATTGTATGAACACAAACCGACAACTGTTTTAGAAGCAGAAAATCTTAAAGTGTTTTCGAAATTCACAATATATATAAAAAGCACGGAACATTTCAATAGGCTAGATTTGTTGTTTCTCGTCTTATCTTCAGCTTTGAGAAGATTTACCAGCATTTACTGCCATATAGGAGGACATATATCACGTAACATTTCAGTACACTTTTCTTTGTTTTTAATGAAGTTTTTCTGTTTTTTAATACTCTGCTTAGCTTGTGGAAGGCATCTTTGGCTATCCCAGTGCACCTTCGTATGACGGTGTCGCACTTTCCGTCCTCTGTTAAAACACAACCTAGATGTTTAGATTTTTGAACGTGTTTAATTTTGGTATCTCTGATTTGAAATTTGCATTTGGTAGAACAGTCGCGACCTGACGATCTAGCATGAAACAGCCTGTCGCCTCTGAGTGTTGACTTCAATGTTCACCTTTATATTTATATTTACATACGCTCTCTTTCTGATATTGAGCACTTTATCCATAAATATAGCACAACTTAAAACTATATTTCTTCATACATATATATATATATATATATATATATATATATATATATATATATATATATATATATATATATATATATATATATATATGAAGAATTATAGTTTTAAGGTGTGCTATATTTATCGGATAAAGTATATATATATATATATATATATATATATATATAGATACACCTAGTGAGCCAGACAAACCTACCTAGGTTTCACCTAAACGGATCGTCAGGGAAAGTAAGTTTTATATATATATATATATATATATATATATATATATATATATATATATATATATATATATATATACCTTATATATATATATATATATATATATATATATATATATATATATATATATATGTATGTATAAGCAACCTGCCCGGCTTTTTATCTAGCAGAGGCGTAATTCTGGGTAGGTTCGGTAATTTTTCTTCGGCTACTATATAAATTAACTTCAAAATCCCTGATTCCGAGACAAATTCAGTGTAGGGTTGAAGAAGACTCACGCAAGGTTGCACTGGTTGAACTAGGCTATACCCAAATGAGGTAATTTAGGATTAATTGGGTTCATAATTTTCAGATAGAGTGTATCAGTAAAGGAACGAAATGAAGAAAAAGACAAGAGGAAAAACTTTTCTTAGCCTAAGCGTTTCGTCCCTTGAACTTTTCAATGCAATGCCGATTTGTCTTTTTCCACATGTTTATATACAAAAGTGAAAGTGTCATTGGTTTGTCAAGGCTTCTAAATACATGAATGTTCATCAGGTGGTTGAAATCTAATATATATATATATATATATATATATATATATATATATATATATATATATATATATATATATATATGTTACTTATGCTTATTCTTATTTTCAAAGTCTTGACTATATATATATATATATATATATATATATATATATATATATATATATAAAACATCCTGTTCAATGCACAAAAAAATCTCATTTGCTTTAGCTGAACCTGTACTTGGTTGATTTCTGGCAGGACAGCCTCTCCTTATATCGATTTGTGAAATTCCCAGACATGCCACAAAGCATATTTTTTGTTGCATTTAATATTGGATCGGAGATCGTTTTCACTTGAGCCCCGCCTTCGAACTGAAATTCTAGGTGCATTTTTTTTTTAATTTTAATATTGCTTGAGCATTTGTTTCAGTTTCTTTTCCCACTCACTCTTCATTGCATATCCTTCATCTAATCAGATAAACTTCAAAACAAGATAAGTAAATAAAAGGCAAAAAGAAAGAAAAAGATTAAGTTAAAGAAAGAAAATAAAAGGCGAAAGGAAACGACCAAGAGAACAATCAAAAGAACAAAGAATGGTTTCTATATTTTCCGTCTACAATTCGTATTTTATTTGGCATCTGTTTATTTCTTTGCCTTGTCTAATCTCTGGTTTTGCTTCGCCTCATCCAACCAGTCACGATTTATTGTGATTCGTTATCCTCTTAGTTTCGAAAAGATACAATGAATTTCAATTTTCCAACAGACTTGACATTGATCTCAGACACAAAAAAATAGCAATTATCAGAATGTCTTTAAACATTGATTAACTTACATTTCTTTCATGTATCTAACATGAACATATTCGAGATACGTGCAGTTGTAACGATCAAGGGCCACTGCAATTTACCATTAAGAGAGAGAATCCGCTAAATTAATTAGTTTTCCGGCAAGACGGTAATTATTGAATGCTGACTCATATTCTTAATTGAACGATTATGTGTAGTTATTTATTATCATTTCATATACACTAATTTATGTTTTTTGTTGCATTAAAAATTATTTCTAATTCATGAATTCACATTGTCTTTTCGAGTAGTTTACTAGAATATTACACTATTCACTAAATATGAACGCATTTATTACTATTGATTTTCCATGAACAATTGAATAGGTGGGTCGAAAATACGTTTTTAAACAAATAAAAAATAGGTTCAGCATACGAAATGCCATGAGAGCGAACTATTGTCCAAACTTCTGTTTGGGGCCGTCATCGATTTATCGTTCTCTATTGAATTTATGCCCTTTTGGCAGCTAGAGTTTCCAGCCTTCATAACGTGAATATGGCTTCCGGTTAACGAACAGACGAACGAAAAATGAGCTGGATTTTAAATATAAAATCCAGATTCGAATCTATTTATGTGGCAAGCTAAGCTCTCCTAAAGATTAACCTCGGCATGCTACTCCTTGTAAATTTATATGCAGGGTTGCCTTTCATGAAGTCACAGTAAACTATTTCCGCTTTGTATTGTGTCATGTGACTATCAATGAGTCGAGAATACCAGAAATTGTATTAAACTTTATAAATAATGTTCGTGTTGCTTTTTCACTGCAGACTGACGGCCAGCGTATGTTGAGATAAAATCAACTAAAATTAATATTAAAGAAAATACTATTTTTTAAAATCATATTACTCAAAGCAAAGCAGTAGCGTTACTAAGAAGCAAGGGGTTACCGAGTGTTGGAGACTATGAGGAAAAACTATTATTAAGGAAAGAAAACAATAAAAGAACAAGAATTAAGAAGACATAAGAGAGCGATTGATTTTTTACTTACATTTTTGACGATTAAAAATGACTAAGAATCAAACGGCCGGAAGAGAGTTTCACAAGTGAGAAATACGACAGAAGAAACTGTTCGCATAGAACTTACGGTTACATCAAGCCATTTTAACTGTAAAATGGTGAGATTTTGCCTCCAATCTAGTACTGCACTAAAAAAAAGTCTAGGTACCATAAAAGAAAGTAATATTTATTTTGATTAATACAAAAATGTGGCACAAAGCCAAAAGTGCTGATAGGGGAAGGCTGTTCTTTAATCTATCTTATCTTAAACTCAGATAGCCACAATTACTGACCCAAACATACCACATTACGCCAAAACACATTCTTACCGTTATAACTACACTCACCATAATACCTCAAGGTCTCTATGTAGTATTATATGTACAATTTGTTCTCATATGTACTATTTGTCTGTGAGGTAGGGATAAAAATAACAACATTTAAAAATGAAATCCCAATGAGGGAAGTTCATCAGAACAATTACTATGAAAATATTTATAGAAAAGGCAGAAGGAAGTTGAATTACATTGGTAGGAAAGTGAGTGAAGCCGAGATGCCATGTCAATGACGTACATAAATGAATAATTATAACTGACAATAATAAATCTAAAACTGAACATGAAATATAATATAATTTTTGCTAATAATATTATTACGATAATATATAACGACTCAATAACAATACAAAATAGAGAATGTAGGTTTTTTAGCGTTATACTTATTGTGCTAGCCGTATACTTCCCTGTAGCTGTGACAGCGAAAGCTGATGATACAGGTTTTCGTTGTATATTATGTTTTGCAGTATTCTATGTTCCAGCATAATTCTTGGGTGGAATGAAATTAAAACTCTAGAGATTGCGATATTGATAACAACTAGAGAATTTGAAAAAAATGCAGGGGTATATCTCAGAGGATGTTGCAAAACAATACGGTAGTGATTT